CAACCATCCCCATATTTTCAACCATCCCATCCATTCTACCCAAACTCCAACCATTCTCACCCTTCCTGCTTCAAACAGCCCAACCCATCGGTAGTCCAACCTGCCTCATCCCACCTCCTACAAATGCCACCCAAACACCTCATCTCCCCGATCCCTAATGCCCTATCACACCCATCCTGCATTACCTAAAAAAATTATCACCCAACCCAACCTGCCCTCACCCATTTCATGTTGTCGTCATCCAACCCCATACCAAGCCTCCCGACCTACATCAACCTCACCACCCCATCACTGTCTCGACCATATCCCACATTCCCCCTCAATTCACCCACCCTGTGTCCAATCCTCAATACCTCACCTGCACCCTCCTGTCACTCTTCACTATCTCACCAATCACCACCAACCACCTCCCAAGGGGGTTCAGTCCCCCTTCTCTCCCACCACCACCCAAGGGGGTTCAGTCCCCCATCTCTCCCACACACCACCCAAGGGGGTTCACTCCCCCTTCTCTCTCACTGACCCACTCAAGGGGGTTCAGCCCCCTTCCCTGTCACTCACCCACCCAAGGGGATTCAGCCCCCTTCTCTCTCACTAACCCACCCAGCCCATCCCCACCTTCACCTACCAGCAGTAGGAGCAGCAGAGAGCCCACTTCCTTAAGGAAACAACACCCGCAGAGGCTGAGTCTTGTGAGGAAGAGGTGTGGTAGTGAAAAATCGCTTCCAGCCCAAGACTCAAATCCCGCCCCTGACGTAGCTAGAGCTGACGCGAACCAGAGCCGCCGGCCGGTCGGCTCTGACGGTGTCCATTAAGCCTTAAACGCCAGTTTGGGAACCTGAGCACCGAGTGCCGTGCCGCGTAGATTCCACCCACACACACCCCACCACCACAAGGCACAACCCCAGAAGATGCTATCCCTAAGGCAGTGAGCTGACTGCATGCTCCCATGCCCTCCCACCCCCACCCCCCCCACTCTCAACCCCATGCCTCCTTACCTGTACTTACCTCTACTTACCACAGCCGTGCAGAGCGCCATGATGCTGAGGCTGCTGGGAAGTGGGAGGTGGGGGGATTAGGGGAGGGCGGGACTCCACTGTGGTCCAGGCAGGGTGCTGCTGGGAGGGAAGGGAAAAGGGAGAAAGGAGAAGGTGAGTGAGAGGGTGGACTCCACTCTCTGCCCTTGCTCCAGTGCTCCCACCTTAGGCCTGCAAGAGAGGGGGGAATGAGAGAGGAGGGGATTAGATTACCATGCCTCACCTGTTACCATACCTTACCTGTTACCATACCTCACCTGCTACCACCTTCCTCACAGCTAAACCTAGCCTAGCCTGCCCTCTAGCCCCCCAGCCCCCACTGCTGCTTCTGCTGCTGCTGCTTCTGCTGCTGCAACTGCTGCTGCCGGTCTGCTACTCTGCTACTCTGCTACAATCTTCTCTTGATGCCAAGTGACCTGGTGGCGGGCAGAAAGGGGGGAAGGGACAGGAGAGGAGGCGCAGGGGGAGCTTGTGAGTTGGCATACGGTGAAATACCCAAGAAGACAGAACAGCACTGGAGCAGACAAAAACGAGGATGCAATATTGAAGCAAAGCTGCTGAAGAGAGTGAACTCGACGGGGAGGTGAGGGGAAGAGGCTAAGGAGGAGACCAACGCACCTTGAGAGGCCAACCCCAGCCCGATACTCTCCCTTGTTGCACTCTCCCTCCCGTCCCTCCCTCCTGCTGCCCTACTGCTACACCCTTCAACAGACTGGGCGCTGGCAGAATGCTGAGAGGGAGGGTGGGGGAGGGAGGGAGGCAAGGAGCAAGGGACAGCAGTGAGAAATGGGAGGAGCGGCAGAAGCGTCCGTGCAGAGCAGAGCAGGCAGCAACATGAATGAAGAGAAAGAGAAGAAACAAAACAGACAATGGCAGAGAGAGTAAGATAGGCTCACCTTGTTCTGGCGACCCAACCCCGATACTCTCCCATCCCATTCCAGCCGAGTAGAGTGCTGCCCCCGTCCCCTCCCACCTGCCACCTGCACGGCCACATGGGGAGAGGCGCGGGAGAGTGGCGGTGTTGACTCCCAGGCCCCTCCCCTCCACCTGCAAGGAGAGAACTGAAGTCAAGTGAGTGAGCGGGTAGAGGGAACAAGGTGAAGGGTGTGCATGGGTGGGGTGGGGTGGCTTGTAACAGCAGGAAAGGGGGCCACTGGTGCAGCTTCAGCTACAAGACACAGACTCAAAGGGAGGCTTAACCTGAGAGGATACCTGTACCTGGGGTGGTTTACCAAAAAAACAGGGTCTGTGGCTTGAAGCTGTAGCATGACCAGAGGCTCAGGTTTGAAGGGAGGCTCAGGTCTCTTGGGTGTGACAGAGGGCAGCACATGAATAGAGAGGAAGGGCAGGGTACTTAGCTGTGAGAGGGTTGGGTGGAGAGCAGCTGCTGCCTGTGCACTCCATGTCCCCCGCCACTGCCACTCCCGTGTGAGCGACCTGCTAGGACCAGAAGGGGGCAGATCGGGACAGAGAGAGAAAGGGAGGAGAGGGGGAGGAAAACGGGGGAGTGAAGGGGGGGCAGAGGAGTGGAGAGAGCAGTGAGGAAAGAAGCCAAGACAAGTGAAAGTGAAGAGTGCAGAAAGCGTAAGCATGATGCGTGCATGAATGGACTGCTGCAGTGGCACACCCAAGAGACCTCGTACCAGCTGAACCAAACTAAAACAAATACCTGAGGCTGTACCAAGAAAAATCACCTACTACCTTGGGGGAGGGAGGTCTAATGGGTGTGACAAAGAGCAGTGAAAAAGGGAGTGTAATGCATGGTGCAAGCATGACAAGCAAAGCAACACAGTGCGAGGGTAGAGAGAAGAGAGGAAGGGCGGGGTACTTAGCTGTAGGTGGGTTGCATGGAGAGCAGTTGCTGCCTGTGCACTCCATGTCAGCCGCCACTGCCACTACCTGTCTGCTACTCTGCTTCCCCTACTGCTGCCGCTGCCCCTCCCCTCCCCTCTGCTGCTGCCCTGCTGCTGCCCCCGTGCTGCCCTGCTACAGCCTTCAATCTACTGGGAAGGAGGGAGCAAGGCAGGGGTAGGCAGGGGATCAAGGGACAGCAGTGAGAATGGGGAGAAGAGCAGGCGGAAGCATAAAGGCAGGCAGGGAGCAGAAAACGGAAGTGAGCATGGGGAGAAGACCAAGCAGCAGCATGAGTGCAAGAGGGAAAGAGGCTCACCTTGTTCCAGACGACCCAATCCCGATACTCTCCCATCCCATCCCAGCCGAGTGGAGTGCTGCCCCCCTCCCCTCCCACCACTGCCACCTGCACGGCCACAGGGGAGGGGCGTGAGGGAGCGTCGGTGTTGACCCCACACCCCTCCCCGCCACCTGCAATGCGCACACACAGAGCTAGTCAGAGCGCGGTGGTGGGAGCAAGTTGAATGGGAAACTGTGACTTGAAATCCAGCACAAGGGAAGGGAGGAGGAGCCACTGGTTGAGGCACGGCCACAAGCTGCAGACCCAAGGGCACCTGAAAAAAAACCTGAGGGGTGTACCTGCACCTGAGAGGGTTACCTGCACCTGAGAGGGTTACCTGAAGTTTGGGGGTCTGTGGCATGTGAACCGCGCTCAATCAAGGGCATTGTTTCAAAGGGAAGGGCGAAAGCACAACCGGCAAACGAAATGGCAGCAAGAAAGCAACAAGCCATGATGTGGCGGGCAAGGGTGAGGGCATGGAAGTGGGTGACTTAGCTGATAGCGTGAGGGCGAGCTCAAGGCAGCTGCAGCACCACCAGCTGCCTCCCTCCGCAGCAGCCCTCCTCCAGGTGCCTCCTCCCTGCACGGCCACAGGGGAGGGGCGTGAGGGAGCGTCGGTGTTGACCCCACACCCCTCCCCGCCACCTGCAACGCGCACACACAGAGCTAGTCAGAGCGCGGTGGTGGGAGCAAGTTGAATGGGAAACTGTGACTTGAAATCCAGCACAAGGGAAGGGAGGAGGAGCCACTGGTTGAGGCACGGCTGCAAGCTACAGACCCAAGGGCACCTGAAAAAAAACCTGAGGGGTGTACCTGCACCTGAGAGGGTTACCGGCACCTGAGAGGGGTATCTGAAGTGGAGGGGTCTGTGGCATGTGAACCGCGCTCAACCAAGGGCATTATTTCAAGAAGACGGTGCAACAGCAGATGAAACGAAAGAAACAGTATGGCAGGCAAGGGTGCGGGCAAGGGGGGACGGGTACTTAGCTGATTGTGTGATGCGGGCAGAAGGGAAGGGTGCTTCAATGGCGAGTGCGCAGGGCGAGCGGGGCTTGAAGGGACGGACCTGCGAGGCAGAGGAGAAGGGAGAGAGAGATAGAGAGATAGTAAGGGGCAGGTGGGAGGGAGTGACTCTTTTAAACGAGAAGACAGGCAGCAGTGTGAGTGCAAAATGACAGTGCATGTGACGCCAACCACAACCCCACAAGAGCCGCTACCAACCTGAACCTGCACCTGAACCTGAACCTGAACCTGAGGGGGAGTGGGCTCGAGTGGAGTGTGGTGGCAGGGGCGATACTGCAACCTCAACCATTGATGAGGCCGGCGCTGCTGCTCTGCTGCCCGCCCTCCTGCTGCCCGCCTTGGCGCCCCCCTCGCCTGCTGCCCTCCTCTCGCCTGCTGCCCTCCTCTCGCCTGCTGCTCGTCTGGAAGGAAAGGGAGGGACGGTCGGGACGGGAGGGGAGGGAGAGAGGGGCAGGGAAGGGAGGAGAGAGGGGGAGGGAAGAGGGGGGAAAGGAAGAAAGAGAGGTGGTGATGAGGAGGAGAGAGTGGCATGCGGATGGCGATTGAAAGGTGCACACAGAAATAGGGGAGGAGGGCCACTGTTGGACGCACAGGCACAAGCTACACACCCCCAAGGGGACCTGAGAGGGCTGTAAGGGCTCTAGGGGGGCTGAACCTGAACCTGAACCTGAACCTCAACCTGAGGGGATACCTGCAGTAGAATTGGGGGGTGTGTGGCTCGTGAGGTGCGTCCTAAGCAGTGGCGAGGTTTGATGCGGGGGAATCAGAGAGGGCCGTACAGACAAGGGAGGGCGAGGCAGGAGCGGGTACTTTGCTGCAGGTTGAAGGAGGTGCGAGTGAGTGGGTGGGGTCCGCCTGCCCTCTCCGCCTCCCCTCTCCGCCTCCCCTATCCGCCTCCCCTATCCGCCTCCCCTCTCCGCCTCCCCTCTCCGCCTGCCCTCTCCGCCTCCCCTCTCCGTCTGCCCTCTCCGCCTCCCCTCTCCGCCTCCCCTATCCGCCTCCCCTATCCGCCTCCCCTCTCCGCCTCCCCTCTCCGCCTGCCCTCTCCGCCTCCCCTCTCCGCCTGCCCTCTCCGCCTCCCCTCTCCGCCTGCCCTCTCCGCCTCCCCTCTCCACCTCCCCTCTCCGCCTCCCCTCTCCGCCTCCCCTCTCCACCTCCCCTCTCCGCCTCCCCTATCCGCCTCCCCTATCCGCCTCCCCTCTCCGCCTCCCCTCTCCGCCTCCCCTCTCCGCCTGCCCTCTCCGCCTCCCCTCTCCGCCTCCCCCATCCGCCTCCCCTATCCGCCTCCCCTCTCCGCCTCCCCTCTCCGCCTGCCCTCTCCGCCTCCCCTCTCCGCCTGCCCTCTCCGCCTCCCCTCTCCGCCTCCCCTCTCCACCTCCCCTCTCCGCCTCCCCTCTCCGCCTCCCCTCTCCACCTCCCCTCTCCGCCTCCCCTATCCGCCTCCCCTCTCCGCCTCCCCTCTCCGCCTCCCCTCTCCGCCTCCCCTCTCCGCCTCCCCTCTCCGCCTCCCCTCTCCGCCTCCTTCCACCTCCCTCCTCCCTCACCTCCTTCGACCCTTTGCTGTCCCGTTTTCCGCCTCCCACCACATGCGCGGCCGTCTATGTCGCGCCGCGTACGAGATGGACGATGCAACGTCGCACCGTAAGCCGGCGCGCGCGCGTTTATCTAGCCATGCGATGATGCGCGCGCGACAATCTCGCCAGGCGACGTTGCGCGACCAACCGTCGCGCGAGCGCGGACAGCCGCATAACCGTTCGAAGAAGCGCGGACAGCTGCATAACCGTCGCGCGAGCGCAGACAGCTCGCCATACGACACGCCTTGCCGTTCGACGAACGCCAAACGCCTCTGCGCGACGGTCCACGGACGATCGTTGCGACGAAGCGCGGACAGCCGCATAACCGTTCGCCGTAGACTGACAACCGTCTCGCGCGATCATAAGGAGCAGAGCACGATCGTCGCGAGCAGAGGACGACGAGATGGCGACGTCGCAGTGAGTCTGCAACGCGCGTGGCGAACAAGATACGCGTCAGAAGAGGATAACAGAATCAGGCATGAAATCGAGAAGCGATGTCACGCGAAGGAATAAGCCGCGAAGCTGAGATCGAGGCAGGCACGCTTACATTCGTTGGCTGCGGATTCGTGCAGACAATCCACTTGATTTGCGGGGGGGAGAAGCTGCGTGGATGGCGCGTGTGGTGAGCGACTATGCGTACTCTGCATAACGGACGACGACGGCGGAAGTCGCTGCTAGAGGCGGAAATCACGGCTGACAACGAAAACCGCGGCTGACGCCGAAAGTCTCGGGTAACGGCAAATTTCGCGGCTGACGGTGAGCATCGCTCGCGGAAATCAACATCGCTGACCGTATACATTGCCGCTGATGGCGAAAATTCCCGCTAAATCGTCGGGAATCGCGTGCTAGCGGCGATGATCGTTGTCGTCGACATTTTTATTGCTGAATCGTTGCTGTCGACTGCAGAAATTGCTGCTCATGGCGAAAACTTCTGGAAACGGGCGAGATCGCTACTATCGGTGAGAATCGCTGCTAGCGCCTAACATTGTTCCAAAATGCGACGACGTCCGAGCGTATGGTTTCGCTAGACGAAGGACAGAAATCAGCAATGAACGCAAACACACGCTTCAAGCACTACGCGGCTGTTGGAATACGCAGGTCGCAGAGGCAAGAGAAAGAGGTGGATGAGAATTGAAGAGGAGAATTGAGTTTGGAAGGACGAGAAAGAATGGCGTTCAGTGGGCAAGCGAAATGCTTCTCACACCCAGGTTGACGGAAACTCAAGGTTAACCTCGGTTCAGATGGTTTCGGAATGGTTTCGAGGTTCTCGGTGTCTTGGTTGTTCCAGTTTCTGCTGGATTTCACAGCAAATGTTCAGAATAGCCTGAAGATTCCCAACCAATCCCGAGATGGGCAAATAACGGAGGAGGAAGCACCGCCGACATGTGTTTCGGCGCGAGCGCGGGTGATTTTCAGCCCTTGTCGCTCCCGCGGAGTCCAACGGCTCTGCTGGGATACCAGTGGGGTGGGGAATGCGCTGTGTGCGCAGATTTTTGGGGTCTGCGGAGCGCCGACGCAGATGGCGGGGCTGCTGCTCCAACGGTTGGCTGGGGTGGGCGGAATTCGGGGGAATCACGAAAACACTTGTCGAGTTTCCAAACAAGCACCAACAACTTGAACTAGATATGTTTTTTTTTTTTTTTTAACACACGGTTTTATTAGGTGTTATCTATTACAATGTAGCATAATTACGCAAGGAAAAGGAGTGGAAACGGGAAGAGAGGAGAAAAGGAGGAATAACGTGAGTAGAAAAAAGGAGAGAGGAAGAAAGAAGGAGGGGAATAGGGGAAAAATGATAGGAGGAAGAAAAACAGGGAAGAAGGAAGAAAAAGCAGCACACACAACCCCAAGAAAACCCCAATAGCACACACATTTAAAACACCATCAAGCCCTCCCATCAAAGCACCCCAACTGCACTCCCATCGAACCAAACCTCCCCCCCTAAACCCACTTTCTAAACCCGCATGTCTACCAAGTATGGTGCATCCGCCCACGGAGCATCCCATCCCATCTCCTCCTCAACATCCTCCCGCTCCACCCAAACAGCCTCTGGGCCTCTCATCATCGACGCAGCGCGTAACAAGATCACACGCGCCTGAGCCCGTTGCAAAGCCACACCCACAGCCGCTTTGAGCGATCCGAGCAAATAAGCCGAGAAACCCTTTCCCGTAGCTCGCGCCGCCCCTTTCGTCTTTGCTATCTCGATCTGCGCGTCACCCTGCTTCTTAAGCCACCGTCCAAAACTCCCCCCCAAGCATCCCCATGTCTCAGCAATGAGTGGTGTGAACTGCACTCCCCCATGCCGCTGTAGAAGCGATTTGTAGTCCGCCGTCTTCCGCTTTTCTCTCTCTCTCGCGGCAAAACCCACCTTGCGACCAATCTGTCCATGGTGCTGCGCGGATAGCGAGATAGGATCTACCACACTAACCTCCAGCGCGTGCTCCTCCCCCTCCCTCAGTTTCCGAACCGCCACATCAACCCTCTTCCCTGGGAGCAACGTGTCGTCTTCCATGGTCACAATCCCACCCGCACCCTTAGCTATCTTCGCCACCACAAATTTAACCGCATCGTGAACCCGAGAAGGTGCATACTGATACTTGCAGCGAAGGGCATGATGCGGGTCAGAGGGATCAGCAAACTCAAACCCACACGCGCACTTGCCGGCCACTATCAGCTGCTGAATAGGGAGGCCTAGGCGCATGGACGCGCAGATGCTCCACTCGGCTGCGGTGAAGGTAGCCTCCTCGTGCGAAGGAACGGCAGAAACCCACGCCCCAGCCCCCGGGCCCTGAAGGGATGTCAAACGGGCCAGGGTGGCATCGTTGTGGGCCATGCCTCGAAGAGATTGGAGGCTCTCAACCGCCAGGCGACGGTGTTGTGTGGGGAAGAGCAGCATAGGCGGATCAGCGGTGCACAAGGCAAGGGGTGGCATCTCCTGCCGAACCGACTGTGGAAGCAGATCCACTGCTCTCGCAAACCAGGGGTCCAACAAGGTCGTAGCCTCGGGCGTGCGGAAAAACTCCTCAAACATCCGCTCCTCACCTGCCACCCCCAACCGAGCCACATCGCTCACTGCTTGGCACCAGCCACATGCATACGACAGAGGACTAAGGTCAGCCGCAGATCGAATGCCGAACCCCCCGAGTCTGGCAGGAAGGTGCAGCTGTAAACGAGCCATCTGGGACTTCCCCGAATCGTGATCCCAGGTACTATCTGGAAACAGCTCCTCGAAACAATCTTCCAGCTTCGTGTCCCAGTCCCGAAAAGCCTCCACAACCTCAGGTCGTGGAGGCATCGTCCGTGTGAGGTAGATCGGGCGCGCCGACACTGCGATCGCCAACAAATGGGACGCAATCTGTGGGTGGTCAAGCAGAGGAAGCCAGGGGACAGGTGCATGCAGCTCCGTCAGCCGGCGACGCAGGCTAGCCACCTCCCAGTCCTCCTCCCCAATGGGCACCCCTACCACAGTGAGCCCCGTCCATGTCTGCTGCATGCCGGGCGGGACAGTCTCATTTCTCTCCTCCCCATCCTGGTCCCTCCCTCGCTCCCATAGCTTACACTTATGCGGCTGCACCTCCAAACCCAGCCCGTCCAGTCGTTCCCGCAAGGCCTCATAGGCTGCTAGAACCCGTTCCCTAGGCCCCAGGATATACGTATCGTCAGCATAGCTGAGGAAGAGTAAGTCGGCGTACTCCATTTTGGTTGGTTCCATAACCAGCTGCTGTGTGAACGCGAACAGAAACGGACCCAATGGATCCCCTTGCCTCGAGCCCCGCTCGGAAGCCAAAGCTTCGACAAAAGGGCCCGCTCGGAGATAGAGGTCGCTAGGAGTGCCGTAGAAGACACGCAGAAATGGAATCAATCCCTTGAAAGGCGACTGTCGAAGACCCTCAAACATTTCCCGCCGATGGAAGGAGTTGAAAGCGTTCGCCACGTCAATTTGCAGCGCACACCACGACGGGTGAGTAGAGATGGCGGAGCGAAAGGCATGTGCGAGGACTTCCACTCCCGACCTGGACCCGACTCCAAACTGGTTACACGGAGCAAAGTGCGACATCATCTTCGGGCGAAGCACGATGCATATGGCCCGAGATAGTATGCGGGGGAGCACCTCGCCTATAGCCACCGGGCGAACGTCACCATTCGGCTTCGACAGGCCCACCAAGTTGGACGCAGTGAGCCAGGGTCGCACGCGCTCCGCTACCTCTCCCTTGGTCCACTGGGTGAAGACCTCTAGCAGGTGGGACAGATACGCGGGCTCAGAGAGAAAAGTGTCGCGCAGGTGCTCCGTCACCCACCCCGACGGTCCTGGTGCGGACGCCCTAGCCGCTGAGTGGATCGCCTGGCCGAGTACCTCCACTGAGAGCTGTGGGATAAGGGAAGGCTCGACTGTCTCCTCCTGCACCCACCCAGGAATGGCGGACTCGCACGATGGGTGTTTCGCTCGTAGCGCGTCCACCATGTGCTGAGAGGGCTGAGCGATGCTACCAGCCGTAAGGCACGCCAAACCCCGACTCCATTCTCCCACTTTGCACCTTGTACGGCAGCGGGATAGGCGCACGGCATCAGGATCATGCTCGGGTGGGGTGAAGGACAAGGGGCGAGCCGCAGGTTGCATCGCCGCCACCGCCAACTCAAACAGCTGCTGCCACTCCCCAGCCCAAAACTTCTCCAACCGCTCCCTAATTGCCGCCCTCTGCCCCTGGCCTTGCCCGGTTGGAATCCCCAAGAAAAGACGAGGGAAGGCCAAAAACACCAAGGATGCCGCCTCGTCTGCTGCCTTTGACTTGAGCCGCTTCAGGATACAAGCTAGTGCATCAAGCACCCCCAGTCTTGCGCGCTGTGGGATGCGACGCATGATTCTCCCTGGCACCAATTCGATCCCGAAAAACGACTCCCAGTCCCATGTGGGAACTGCGGCCCACACCTCTTCACTGATATCCCGTGGTGGCGGAGGTTCGCTGTCCGAGTCGTCTGTGACGTCGCGGGTCAACCCAAGCGCCTGTGCACGGCGCTTGGCGTCCGCTGCCCTGCAGGCCGACATATGACGCGTGGCCTTTCCTCTCTCCGTGAAAGTGCGATAACAGGTTTCGCACGGGATGCGGGGCGGGGGTGTCAGCATAGGGTCTGGGTGCTCCTCTCCACTCGAACACGCCGGCAAGACCTGTCTGCTCGACTCCATCTCCATCTCCCCCTCTGGCAGCCTCGCAAGCTGCACCCCATCGGGCAGCTCCTGCTGCCCTCCGCTCTGCAGCTGTTGCTGCCCTCCGCTCTGCAGCTGCTGCTGCCCTCCGCACTGCAGCTGCAGCTGCCCCCCACTCTGCAGCCGCTGCTGCCCTCCGCTCTGCAGCTGCTGCTGCCCTCCGCTCTGATTGGGCTGCTGCCCTCCGCTCTGCAGCTGCTGCTGCCCTCCGCTCTGCAGCTGCTGCTGCCCTCCGCTCTGCAGCTGCTGCTGCCCTCCGCTCTGATTGGGCTGCTGCCCTCCACTCTGCAGCTGCTGCTGCCCTCCGCTC